GTCATGGTGGTATGTAAGACATTCTGTGGGCTCATGAATGGTGGAGCCAGCAGAAGCATTTCAGACAGGGGAGACAAATTCTAGATTTGGACATCCAAAATATACATCTGTTCCACAAGCATGAATCTCTGCCTTCTGTGGGATACTGTATATACCTATATATATATATATGTATATATAGAGAGAGAGAGAGAGAGAGAGAGAGGGAGAAAGATAGAGAGAGAGAAACATAGACATCTTTGGAATATATAGTCTACTACATAGAGTAATTGCTAAAACTCTCAATGCTGGTGAGTTGGCGTGATATACATAGTGGAAAGTGATGAACTAGTTGGTGAGATGTATCAAGTGTTTGAGAAATATGGTGGAAATAACACCTATAAGGACAACAGGATGGAATGGTGTGGTAGTTAATTTTATACACCAACTTGGTTGTGCCATAGTGTCCAGATATTTGGTAAAACAACATTTTGGATGTTTCTATGAATGTGCTTTTTTGGATGAGATTAACATCTAAATTGATAGACTTTGAGTAAAGCAAATTACCCTCCATACTGTGGTGGGCCTCACCTAATCAGTTGAAAGTCTTAGAACAAAGACTGGCCTGCCCTGAGCAGGAAGGAATTCTGCTAGCAGACAGCTTTTAGACTTGATCTGCAACTCTCCCCTGGGTCTCCAGCTTTCTGGCCTACCCTTCATGTTTTGGACATACCAAGCCTCTACAATTGTGTGAGCCTGTTCCTTAAAATAAATCTCTCTTTATCTATTTACATCCTATGGGTTCTGTTTCTCTGGAGAACCCTAATACAGATGGTGCAGGAGGCAGGCCCTAGGATGACACCCAATAATGTCCACTCCCTGGTGTCTATGCCTTTGTGTAAGTCCCCGCCTTTGAGGGCAGGTGGAACCTTTTACTTGACTCTAACCCATGGACTATGGCGGAAGTAATAGGATGTCACTCCCATGATTATGCTACATCATATGAGACTCCATCTGAGCAGGTTGGAGCAAAATACTCTCCCGCAGGCCTTTCAGAAGCAAGCTGTTGTGACGTGACTTGCTTATGGAGAGGGCCACATGGTAGGGAACGGCAGGTAGCCTCCAGGAGCTGAGGGTCTCAGTCGATGGCAACAAGGAACTGAACTCTGCCAACAACAGTGTGTGCTTGGAGGAGGACTCCAATCTCCGGAAAAAAATCCAACCTTGCTGACACTTCGATTGCAGCCTCGTGAGACTGAGCAGAGGACCCAGCTAAGCCGTGTCTGGATTCTGACCCACGGAAGCTGTGAGATAATAAATGTGTGCTGTTTTCAGCTACAAAACTTGTGGTAATTTGTTATGCAGAATAGAAAACTAATACAGTTGGCTGCTACTAAATGCCGTTGACAGTCCAGAAAAAGATAATAAAAAGCTGAGCATGATTAATAGGCCACTGAAAGGCCAGAAGGCCCACCTGGTAGCTTACATAGAGGCTCCCACCTCCCATAGTGAGAGAGCAGGGAATATTAAAGATCAAGCCTTAAGCACGTGGAGCTTATGTTTTGTCCCAGTGGGAGAATCATAGCATGGGCTTGTGGGGCTCTGAGAACAAGGCCATGACATCTTCACCAGAGAATTATTGAGCTTTTGAAAACCAGCTGCTGGTGTGCTAATGGGCCTTGGTAAATACAGAATATAGAGCATGGGGTAACAGGTGATCACATTTCTGGCATTACCTGCGAAGAGCTGTGCTCTGACAGACCAACCACGTCATAACGTTGAGCAGGCCGGACAGCAATCCTTCATGTGATGCAAGTGGTGCACCTGGGGTTGAGCAGGAGCTTGTCTGATACAGGGCGCAGGGAGGACCGTGTGTGGCACCAGGCGATACACTTCACTGTCACTAATCAGAAGGGGTCATCTGATCACAAGGCAGGAATATGGAAGGAAAGAGTGGACAAATTTTGTCTCTCTTTTTTCTTCCTTTAACCTACTTCATTCCAGATATGATCTCACCATGTGAAGTACCTAATAAGTGTTATGAACTTTAAATACATACTTTCTTACCTTCATAACAATCTTCAATTATATAGTCTTTTCCTCATCTTACTATTGACGTGTGTAAGGTCTCGTCTAATTATATTTTAGCCAGAGAATCACTAACACCACAGAGTTAAAGGAGCGTTAGCAACACGAAAGGAAAGCCATTGCCACTAAGACTGATGTGTCTGTACCAGGTGGAGGAGAGTCCTGGATTAGACATGGAAAGATGAATCTTGTGTGGTGTGGGGACTGGAGTTGGCCACCCCAAGATATGTCTCTTTGGCATGAGGATTATTTGAGGCCGATTGCTTTTGATAAACTGGGACAGGCAAGGAGGCTCTGAGGAATGGAGCTTGCCCTTTGTTAGGACACATTTACATTTGTAAGGTAAATCTCTATCTGTAAAATGTGCCTCTCCCTCCGTACCAGGAAGAAGAAAGGGGATGACCTTGTCTCTAGAAACTCTTAATCAATGCCAAAGGCAAGGACTTAAATCTGCATTTTACTGTGCTAGTCTGGTAACCTCCTGTAACTGACTTCCCTCCCCCTCCCAACGTTGGCATTTCTTTAAGGATTAAGCATCTTTCCTTAGGCTAGGAACTGATTGCTGCACTCACCTGTGACCACCCAGCTCCAGACAATGGACTTGCCTCCTGCTACGCCCTCCGAGACAGCAGACCACTACCTGCTGTGTCCATCTAGTGCTGTGCTGACAGGGCAATCTTGTGACTATTGTGGGAGGGACATTTCAATCACATGTGAAACACCCTGTTTGGGGCTATATAACCACCCTGTGTACCCACTTCTTCGGTGCCCTTTCTTCCTTCGGGAACAAAGGCCCCAGGCCATGGTCCTCATAAAGCTTTGTTTAATTTTCTCTTGCTATTCTGTCTCATGTGAATTTAATTCGTTCTCCGGCCAGACAAACCCACATTGGATAGAGGAAAAGTCTTTCTCCCCTACAGTGGCAAGATAACTTTCGAGATAGTGAATTAATAGCTTTCTAATTTTTATTTCTCAAAGCCTGAACCTATTGAGAATACAGTTCAAAGATTAAAGAGATTCTGTGGTTGCTCCACAAAGGAGGCAGCCTGTGCCTTCCTCCCTGGTGATGACAGCTCAGTGGGCTCCACTACATGGTACCAGATCGTAAGCCTAAGATTCCAAGCCATCTTTCCCAAAGCTTCCGTTTATAAGAACGGCATGGAAGCAGCAGAGCTAGTAGACATGCAAGGCCAGGCAGGTGGGGCCAATGGGTGTTTCCATGGGCTAATGCCTGGAGGAGCTTCTCTATGGGCTTGGTAAGACCGTGAGACCTTTGTATTATCAGGGTGGGGGCAGGGCAAGAATGGTGGAGGCTATCTTCAGCCCGCTGGAAGAGGTGCATGGAGAAGAGTTTGACTCTATTGGAAAGACAGTTGGTAAGTAAAAGTAGACACAGTCCTTGGCTTTATGGAGCTTAGTGCCCACTGAAAGAGAGATAAATTAACAAAATAATCAAAGGGATAAATATGTCGTGTGATCAGGGGATTATTCATTCTCAAAGTTAGGTGAAAAAGAAAAGGAAAAAGAGAAGAAAAATAATTATCTACAGCTTCACCTTTACTCTTATCTACCTCAGCAAACTGAATATGTCCTTTAATTGCTCTTTTAGCTTGATAATCTGACTCAATAATCTAACTTATTAACCAAGCTTTGCTTAGTCCACAGTTCAGAATGCCCACAAAATTTTCTCTCATTTTGTTTCTAGAGGCATATTCTGCATCCAGTGATTTGCAGTGGACAGACTGTGAATGGACTGGGGGAATGAGTCTTCATTCCCCTGATGTAATTTCCAGTATAAGAAAAGACTCACTCGTTCTTTGGTTCTAGCCCCAGGAATATTGGGACTGCTGGTCCATTACGGTCCAGTTCGTAGTATTGTAAATCAGCTTGGAACAGCTGCCCAAGTGTCACTGGAATTTCTTGCCTGTTTCTAGTGCTCCCTTACTCCTCCTCCTCACTCTCAGTCAAACACCTCCTGAAATCTGGAAGTGATGAGGCAGTTCAAAGATGTGTCTGAGTCGGTGGTAGTAAATGCCAGAACGCTTCCGGGGGTGTTTCCTACTCCTCGTTCAGCATATGTCTTCCTAGAGCGTCAGATAAACAATAGAACATTGAGGAAAGAAGAGGTAGTGGGAAAGACGGGCGAAATTGAAAAGGCAAAAACTTCAAACTTAAAAATTATTCTTTATTCATTGGTTAATTTTGTAAGTCTTTGTGATTGAAATTGGATCATTTTTTGTACCTAGAACAATTATTATAGTGAACAACTTGGATAACAGAACAGAATGCAAGTATAAATTGCCACTTATATTTCATCCGTCCTATTAGCCCCTTAATCCTGTTAAGCTGACATTCCAAAAGAGGAAACAAAGGCACCCAGATAAACACAGATACACATACAGATGATAAGAATATGAAATTCTATTTAGAAAGAGCTTGGACCTTTGGAAAAATAAGTTGTAAATCTTTTAAACAAATGGAGTTAGAGGAAAATTTTAGTCTACATTTAAATCTCCCTGAAAAGTGGGAGAAATAGAACAATGAGTTTTATCAAACAGGATGATAAGGGTCATTCCTGCAGACATAGATGATCATCAGTGATGCAAAACTTGGGACTCAGATCAGGACATATCGTCAGTGCAACAGGGGTAGCTGAGCACCAATGTGAGAGTAAGTTGACACTGTCTACGTATCTCGGCTCTGTAAGTAATAAGAGGTGTATGGTTATAAACGTTTAATGCAGATTTATTCCCATGTATGTCTGGGAATAGACTGAGCTAAAAAGGTTAATTAATACATGTATCAATATTGGACACAAGGGATAACAGAATAGGGTTGTGATATGTAAAATCATGGCTAATATACCATAAGGGAAAAATAAAGTGTAGATAGGGCATTCTTTTATCATTTGCCATTTCGGTCTCAGTGGTCCTCTAGTTCTTTGAGATAGATGCAACCCTTTTGTTCATGTCTTTGAAAGCTTGTACCACTTGCTTGTTCCTCAGAGTATAAATGAAGGGGTTCATAACTGGCGCAACTGAGGTGGTGAGCACTGACACCACCTTATTCACAGCAAGCCCTTCTTTTGCATGCGGTTTGATATAGATGAAGATGCAGCTTCCGTAAGTGATAGAAACCACAATTAGGTGGGAAGAACATGTCGGAAAAGCCTTTTTCCTTTGCTGCACAGAAGGAAATCTGAGAATGGTCCTGATGATGTACGTGTAGGACATAATTACACACACCAAGGTGAAAAAGAGCGTCAACCCAGCCAGGACCAAGACAACTCGCTCTATGAACTCCGTGTCCGAGCAGGCAATCTTCAGGATGGGAGCAGCATCACAGCCAAAGTGATCTATGACATTGGAGTCACAAAACTTAAGCTCCAAGCCCATGATGTACGGTGGGAGGATGATGATCAGAGCTAACATATAACAACCGATAAGGAACTTGATGCAGACTCTGTTGTTCATGATGGTCATGTAATGCAGGGGTTTGCAGATGGCCACGTAACGGTCGTAGGACATGGCTGTCAGGAGAAAAAACTCAGTCACACCCAGGATGATAACAAAAAATAATTGAGCCTCACAAGCATTGTAGGTAACAGTATTGTCCCCGGATGCAATTATGTAGAGGAATCTGGGAATGCAGACAGTTGTAAATGACACTTCTAAGATGGAGAAATTCCGGAGGAAAAAATACATGGGCGTTTTAAGGTGGGAATCCACCAAGGTGAGCGTGATGATGGTCAGGTTCCCGACAACACTCAACAAGTAGGTTAGAAACAAAAAGATAAACAGCAGAATCTGTAGGTTTGGATCATCTGTTAGTCCCACCAGGATGAATGTTGTTAGTGCTGTATAATTTTTCATCTCTGATTCCTGTCTATAGTCTGATCTGTGTGTAAAAATAAGAGGGAGAGGAATTCCAAGATGGCGCCGTGAGTAGTCCTCTTTGTCTCTCGCCCTTCGAGTCTACAATTATTTGGACACTTATCGCTTGACAAAGGATATCCAGACAGCATCTCAGGACGTCTGAGACACCCACGCGACTATACATCGGAAGGCGGACGGACTTTCCTCCGGGAGGATGTGGAAATAGGTGAAAACTCTCCGACCCCGACGGGCAGCCTAGTACCCGCAAGCGGCTTTCTTCCAACGGACGCCCCCAGAGGATCCACACACATCTAGGGCAGGAGCGAGAACACAACAGAGGAGCGACGGTGGAAACAGGTGACCAGAACCCTACTTAAACCCCCCGCAATTACTCCTAAACGCAGAGGAA